AAATATTGGCTAAGGTGTTATCCAGCCATCCCAGCATTTGCTCTTTCTTACTCTCTAATCAGCATCACACTTGGAAACAGTGGGAAGTCAAAGCTCCCACAAACACCTTCCTCAGTGGTTGGTTGAAGCAAAGTTCTGGAGAAAAAACCTAAACTTGTTTCCATCCCACCCCTTCCCCAGCACATTTCCTCTGCTCCTCTCAGATAATTCTGATTTTAAGCTTATTTTTAAAGGTTATTTCTGAACCACTCAGGGAAAAATATGTTTCCCTTTGCAAAAACTCATCATCCCATTTCCCCAGATAACAGAAGGTCACCTGAGAGTTTTACCTGGGCTGTTGGCTCAGAGCACACCCAAAGAGGTGGTTGGGTGCTAGGAAAGCTGTAGGACAAGTCTGAGCATCTTTAGCACCACCTGATGCTCCTCTCCAGCCACCTGTGGGAGATGTCCACAGCCAGCAGTGGCTGAAGGACGGATTGCTCTCCAGCTTGCTGGTTGAAAGCTTGGGCCAGAGGGTTTCCCATGTCCCGTGGAAACTCTGGGAAGGAGCTCGGTGAGGACACAGCTCTTGCCAAGGCCAAGCTCCCTCTCCAAGGAGCAGAGAACGGGGCTCCTGTGACTATTGGGACATCTCCAGTGGTTTACCCAAACCAGGGGAAGGAAGGGGGCTTTGTGCCCACTCCCCTCTGCCCCCTTTCTCTCAGCTCCCCCTTGTTTTATCTGCCCAGGCGTCGGCTCTCCGTTATCTCCGACCGTTCCGGGCCCATGGCAACCCCGCAATGTTATCACTGCCTCTCCCACAAAAACCACCTACAGCTCATGTTTGCTTTCAAATTTGCAAATAGAACTCACACCCTGCCAGTTGTTCACACCGTTCCAGCTTGTCCAGACCCAGCCAAGGCAAACCCACCCTTCTCCCCCTGCCCTCCGCTGCTGTGACGACCGCGGGCTCCAGGAGCGTGTGCTCCACCAGGAGAAGGGCTGAACGGCCCTTCTGGAACTCAGTGGGGAAAAGGGGTCATGGAAGGACCCCATCCCAGCTCAGATCCACCCCACTGGTGTTCAGATGGTCCAGAGGGTCCTTTGAGGTGGCCCATGAAGCTGCCTATGAGCTGTATCCCAGCCCCACATCTCCACAGCCCCTTGGATTTCCCTTGCCTTGCTCCTCTTCCAGCCCTTATCCCAGATCCTTTAGAACACTTTTAACCTGTCTCTCACCTTTGCATGGTGTGATGGCACAAAACAGTAAGAATGTGACACAAGCACCTAGCTCACTGCCACCTCTTCCCACCCCACATGTCACTGGGGGTCGGGGTGCCCCAGACCCCTCCGAGGGTCCCCCATTGGCTCTTCCTCCATCCCTGCACCTCCTTCAGCTCCTGCTGGGAGTACAAACCCCCCCACAGCCCCACGGGTGCCCTTGGTGGGTTTATGGCAAGTCTCCAGCCCACCTGGGCCACCTGAATCCTTCTGTGCACAAAACTGGGTCTCCCAAGGCTTCAAGAAGGTTACAGGAGTTACCTGCAGATATTTCGAAATTCGACTGGGTTAAGGGATTTTAAGCAGCAAAAAGAACGTGGAAGAGACTTTCCCATGGCCACCACCAGTGGAGGTTTATGACAGGTCATCAGCAGCCCCCATCCTCACAAACTTTGGGCATGAAAGAGTTCCAGGGAACAGAGGTGCTGTTCCTTGGCTGGTGGGATGCCCTTTCTCCAAAAGCAAGGGTTTTGCCACAAAATGTGTGTTGGCTGTAGGAACTCAAAGAGAACCTTGTCAGAACATGGATACAGAAGGAAGGAAATGCAGAGAAGCCAATGTTAATACCTCCTAAACATGAATTCTCCTAAGGAAGATCCGTGCACCTCTGCCACCCTCTCTCACCAGCCAGCTGATAGCAGCTGTGTCACAGAGAAGTCATGGTTACATTCCCAGGGATTGGTTTCACTCTGACCCTTCTAACATGGACATTTTTACTGGTTGGAGAAGTTTACCAGGCTGCTCTCAGGCTTTCAAAGCTTGCTGTTGGAAAAGCAAAAATATTCCTCTGTTTCAAGCCCCCAGAGCTTTGTTGCCTCAGCCCTTCTGGAAGGGTGGAAAGGGAATAAATTGTCTCCTCAGAAATGGCTGGAGCAGGTTCACTGAGCTGGGAGAAGGACACCAAGAACAAACAGGAAAATCACTGCCCTTGTTCCTGCAGTTTAGCAAACTTGGAAGCAACTGGAAAAATGCTCCTTTTAGCAGAAGGTGCCTCTTGATTTCCTCATGAGGTGAAGTTCCCAGCCTTGCCCGAGCTCAGCTATTGCTATTTGTGCCTTTTTTGTGTGTTCTAATTCTCTCTGTGTCCTCCAGACCCTCCCACACCAAACCAGCAGCAAAAAACAACACGAGAAAGCCAAATCAGAGCAAGCAGGTTGAGTTCTCAAGTGACATATTCCACCAGAGACTGACTGTTTATAACTGAGCAGCAAAGAACCTGGGTTATTTCTCATTTTCATCTATTATCTTGATTTTTCCTCCATCTATTTGAAATTAAAATTCCCAACCAAATTGAAGATAGATGGTGGGCAAGACAGGTTTAATCTTTGCTAGGGGAGCGAGGGATTGAGGCAAAAAAACCCTTGGAAAGCAAAACTTCCTCGATGTGCTCAGGTCACCTCACTGCTTGTGAGAGTCCTATTATTTTTATTCACTCTGGCACTATTGTTCCCAATATAAATTGCCATTGTCAGAATAATAAATAGGGGTTTATAATGGAAATGCTGACAAACCATTAACCACGGGGTGGGTAGAGAGGGGGGTTTAATGGCAAGCGAGGTGAAAATAAACATGGGGAGCATGCTCTTAAATAATATCTTAAATTAATAATTTAATTTTTTAGCCTCATTTCCCCCCCACTCTGGTTGGGATAAAGTTGCCCTTTGCTGGTGGTGGGTGGGAAGAAACGCCTTTAGGAGCAGATGGATCTGGGAGATGGAGCCAATCCATAAAACACAGCAATGGGGAGAGTGGGTTTGTGGCTTCTCCAGAGACTGGGAAGTGTCAGCCAATCTATAACAGGAGGGGGAAACGGGAGCAGGGAGGGGGGGACTTCTGAAGAATTCATTAAAAAGAAAGGAAAATATTCCACCTCATTTTGTAGGGCAGAGCTGATAACACCGGTCACAAAAAGCACATAAATATTCATATTCCCAGAGATCCCCCACAGCCCTGAGGGTGGAGATGGCAAATTTGGGGGGTTCAGGCACCCACCTACCTTTATATTCAGATTTATTTTAAATTTCTTTCTTGGGGTCTTTTACATTTCTTTTTTGGGGTCTTTTAAATTTCTTTCTTGGGGTCTTTCAAACCCCTTTTTCATGGGTGGCAGCAGAAACCCGGCAAACCCAGCTGGGAATTCCACCAGAAGGTGATGGTTTCCCTGGAAATCCTGATATTTAGGATAGGATGCTCATTTCTGTCATTCCTGGGAGGGATCCACGGAGCTTGTGGGATGGAGGTGAGGAATCCCAGACTCATAGAATCACAGATTCATGGAATCACAGGTTGGAAAGGACCTCAAAGACCATCTCATTCCAGCCCCCTGCCACTGGCAGGGACACAAGCAGACTGAACTCCCACAGCCTGTCTCAAAGCAGGAAAATCCTGCTCCTGCAGGAAATCCACCCCCCCAACATTTCCATTTTAGAAAACTAACACCCACCCTACAGACACCAGTCTGCAGGTTTGGGAATTGCCAAAAAAATCCCTTTTTTTTTCTTTTTTGCTGTAACGCTGAGCTTAGCGACAAAGATATTTGGAAAGAACAAAACCCCCCAAATCTCAACTAGTCTGGTTTCTTCAAAGATTAAAGCAGTTCCCAGAGCTGAACACTTGAAAAGTTTAATTGCTTCTTCCATGGAGTCACATTTTTTTGTCATTTTAAGCTTTTAGAGCAGCAGAATTGAGGCAGTTCTGCGGCGTGTTGTGGGTGTATCTGTGTGTGGGGAGGATTTGGGTTTTTACACTTCAATTTATTCTTCATGTGGCAACTGTAATCTCTTTATAGAACCATAAAGGTTGGAAAAGTCCTCTGAGACCATCAAGTCCAACCATTAAACGAGTAATTAGTTGCTGGAGTCAAGTTTTACCGACCTGTCCTGCCCTTTGCTCCGTGAGTTTTCCCTCGGGGAAGCTGCTCAGCTTTGCTGACTGTGATGGAACACAAGCCCTGCACAAACACCCTGCTTTGGATGTCCAGGCAGGACCAGGCTCGTTTCCTTCTAGGAAAACACGTCCCTGGCACCTGCTCTGGGATGTTGCAGCACATCCAACACCAGACAGCAGCTCTTCCCTCCATCCTCGCTGTGTCAAAGCACAGAGGCCAGATGGGTGTAACAGCCTAAGTGCCTTTTTTCTCACTGTATTAAGGCAAGAAAAACCCCCAGATAATCCTGTTGTAACCTAATTGTTTGCACCCCGAGATACTCTGGGCACAACCGGCCCGGGAATGATTCCCGTGGAAGAAGAAAACTGGAACCAAAGGAGAATTAGGGGGAAATCCAGCCTGGTGGTGTTAGCCCGTCCCGAAATACTGTGAGCCAAACTGTGACATATCCTCTTAGGAAAGGATCTGCTCCAATGACAAGAATATTAGTGGCTTCTGGTGGGAAGCCACACAGCTGGAATTCTACAGGAGGAATTGACCCCACGGCGCAGGGGATCAGTTGCCCCACGGAGCAGCTCTGGACAAACCTCAGGAACACGATCCAGAATCAGCTGGGGTGAGTTTTGCTGATCCTCCCCACTCTGGTTAGGACAGAGTTGCTTGGCCACAGAAGGGGGCTTGGCTGGAGGTCTCTCCAAGGGACCTGTTACCCAAACCGGGGGAGCACCCGAGATCCTTTCTGGCTGGAATTCGGGGTTCCCGCTCTGCACTGAAAACCACCCATCACAGCCACTCCCACGGAGCTGCTGGCAGGTGCCCCCCACCCCCTGCCCTCTGAGCCAGCGGGCCCTACCTGGCAGCCCCAGGATGGTGAAGTACCCTCGGCATTCCGTGAATCCGGAGCTCTCCCGCACGCACGTGCGCCACAGGCCCTGGTAGTTGAACACGGCGGTCACCGGGTTGTTGTACAGGTCCTGGGTGCTCCACTGGTCCATGCAGGTGGATGCGATGATGCCCCCGATGCCCAGGGCAGACACCACGAAGCCCATGGACTGGCAGATGGTGACGGACATGGTGCCGCGCGAGCAGGAGCCTCCCCGAGCCGGGTGTGGGGCAGGCAGCCAGGGCACGGGGCACTTTTAGCTGGAGGCAGCGCCTACGTCACGGATGGAGTCAGAAGAGGCCTGGTTGGCACCACACGAACCTCCCCTTCCCTTTATCTGTTTCTGGTGAGATAATTTTCCCTCGCCCGGTACCGAGAGCCGTTTGTTCCGTGAACGCCTCGCTCTCTGTTTACCTTCTCCCTCCAGGCAGAGGTGCAGCCAGCACAGGTCCCACGGGGACCAGCAGATCCCTCTGGAACAGCCAGTGGAGAGATCCCACAGGAGCAACTCTGAGCTCCGGGAGAACAAGCACAGAGGTGCCTAAAATGGATGAAACAGATAAAAATTATGGAGAGCCTAATCCTTCCCTGGCAAGGATGATGCTTTTGAGCCAAGGGGAGAGGTTTAGGTTGGATATTAGGGAAAAATTCTTCATGGAAAGGGTTTACTGAATCCCAGAACTTTCTGAGTTGGAAGGGACCCACAAGGATTATCAAAGTCCAACTCTTAAGTGAATGGCTCACCCAGGGATTGAACCAGCCCTGGCACAGCTGCCCAGGGCAGTGGTGGAGTCCCCATCCCTGGAGGGATTTAAAAGCCCTGTGGATGTGGCACTTGGGGTCGTGGGTTAGTGGTGGCCTTGGCAGTGCTGGTTCAGACTCAATGGTCTCAGAGGGCTTTTCCAGCCTGGCTGATTCCATGATTTGTTATTGTGCCTCTGTCTGGGGCTGTTTGCTCTGTTTGCTCCACCAAAACACTTGTGTGTAAAGGAGGGAGTCCCACAGCAAAGGGCAGGCCCTGGGGTTGGGGTGGACCTTGCTGAGGGAGGGCAGGCTGGGAGCACGTGGGACAGGCAGCAGCTGCTGAGGAGGGAATGGGGAAACCTGCAGTTTGCTGGGGGAGCACCAAGGGTAAATAAATAAACAGGAGAAGCTGGATATCCTCATTCACTTTAAACCCCTCATCCAGATATGAATTGGGACTTGTTTAGATGGACAAAAAAACAGGGCAAGAAAAGAATGACTTTTCTGCTCCATCTCTCAAAACCTCCTTCCTTGCCCAGTTTTCCGCTGGTACGGAAAGGGGGATGTGCAGGAGAGCTGCTCCCCATGGGAGGGAAGGGATGACAAGCCCTGTTTCAGCAGTGCCAGACTCACACCCGGCACGTGGAGGCTTCCAGAAGGGACCTTCAGAAGAAGTGGAGCTCAGTGGGGTGACATTCAGGTGGTGGAAGTGGAAAGTCATCAGGGAGCACGAAGAGGTGGCCACTGTCATCTGGCTACACTCAGCCTTGCTCAAGGGTCTCTCCAGATGCTCAGTCTGAAGTGTCTCCAGGACTTCCCTGTGAAGCTCCTTCTGAAGAAGATCCAGCCTTTTGTGGGAACACCGTGATTGGCTCCTAGAGATTATTTTGGTTCTGCATCTTTTTGGGAGAACCAAGCTGGAAGGGACCTTGGGAAGTCATCCAGTCTGTTCCCACACCCCAAGCAGAGCAACGCTGTTCCTGAAGCTCTGAGCAGTCATCAGAGAGTATCCATGAGGGAGACGTCACTCTCACTTCAGATTATTTATCCCAGAGTCTCAATTATCAATTCTGAAAATGTTCTGCCTAATACTGAAGTTTATTACACATCACTCATTAAATTAGTGCCCGAAATTAAACAGCAACCAGGGAAAAGACAACTCCACGCGTGTCACCAACAGTCCCCGGGTTCAAACGTAACATTTCCCCATTCTCCTCATTTTCCCCAAAAGAACAGTGTTGGTGATTCATGTGCTTTCCTAATCCACTCTCCCTCCCCGGGCTGGTTTTGGGCACAGCGATACCAGTGCTGGTGACACACCTCACCCTGTGCTGGGGCTGGTCATTGCTCTCGGTATCGGTCAAACAGAGCTTAATCACGGAAAGCGTTCCCAGTATCACAGAGCCAAACACAGAGCCCCAGGCCAGAGCACAAACACACTCCCTGTGTTTGTCACAACTCACCTGGAGACAGAAAAGACTCCTGGCAGCCAAGGATTGTGTTCAATAAGTTACCTCAAAGGAGAAATTTCGTGCGTATCGGTTCTGGGGTGGGAAGTGCTGCACAGGGGCAGATCTCGTCCAAATCATCAATCCATTTATTTCAAGGGCTCTGCCAATTTACAGCAGGCAGAAGAGTAGGGCCCTGGTATGTGAGTAGCATCATTCCCAAGCAAAAAGTTCCAAACTGTAACCAAAAGGAGAGTTCTCTCTGCTGAGAGCATCTCACAGTGAAAATACCCAGGGACTGAACTGCTTCAACCACCCAAACTTACCCTTGATGGGAGAGCACCTTCTCAGTTATCTCCCACAACATGGACATGGCAAGGGCAAAGCCTTCCCCGGGTGTTCTTCCTAAGGAATGATACCACAGGCTGCTCCAAGGAACAGAATCCCAGAATGGGCTGAGTTGGAAGGACCCACACGGATCATCCAGTCCAACCCTCAGCCCTGCACAGGACTGAGACACCCCCTGTGCCCCAGAGGATCAGCCAAACCCTCCTGGAGCTCTGGCAGCCTTGGGGCCGTGCCCACTGCCCTGGGGAGCCTGGTCAGTGCCCAACCAGCCTCTGGGGGAAGAACCTTTGCCTGAGATCCAACCTGAGCCTGCCCTGGCACTTCAGGCCTGTCAGCTGTGCCCACCGGCTGTGCCCTCTGCCCATCACTGATGCTGAGGCCAAAACACCTGTAAAAAGTCGAGTTTTGTGGTTCTCTGGGATTTCAGGGATTTAGACTGGCTTTACTCGTGCTGCTGCCCCAAGGAAGGGGACCCCTCACAACCCCACTGAACCTCCTTCTTCCAGCACAGAGGGCAAGATTCCTCCTGAATACGGGATTTGTCCCCGCCAAGGAGGACGCCTCGGCTGCCTAATTATTTTATTCATAAGGCAGCAATGATTTCAAAGGCATCTGGGTGACCTATCTAAAGCTAAGTGAATCCCTCACCCCCGAGGAGCCCCGCTCGCCCTGATCCCCCCCGGGAGCCGGGCTTGGGTGGCGGAGGAGCCGCCGCGGGAATTCTGAGAAGCCGGACAATGAGCAACACATTGACAAAGTGTTCACATTATTGGCTGATGGGTCTGCATCACTCACTCATTCACCAGCACAAGGTCTAAATTGCAGAACCAATTAACGGCACTAATAGCCCTTGCCTGAATTAATCTTTGAGACAAAAGAGGAGAGAAGTGGAAGAGCTATTAGCAAATCAAGCTGTACCATCCCTGCTTTATTGCGGGAATCTAAGTGTCTGTATTTGGCTATTATGAACTGACTGCAATTACAGCCCTCATTTAAAATGATTAAGTGGTTATAATTATTTTTCAATTAAAACTTAGATCTTCCATTTATACAACATTGCAGGCTTCAATTAAAATCCTTTTTCCTCCTTTTTTTTTTTTTTTTTTTTGAGGGAAAAGAAGTACCACTGTGCCAAAAGAATCTCGCATCTCTTCTCCCCATTAAGTGCCAAATAACCTGCTAATAACACCTTGGTTCGGATCCCTCCTTCCCAGCCTTGCTGAACTGCTGCGTGGTGAAGGAGATAAAACTTCCAGGCGTAGAGCCTGAGAAAGGTTAAATAAAAACAAGCTTAGAAAGTGGTAGGAGCCTCAAATACCTCTGGAACCAGGTTTGCCCACCTGAAACGGTGGGATAACCATTTCCAGGGCTAAGCACTGCAGTGCTGTCCGTGTTATTTGTAAAGGAATTTGGGGTTGGGGACCTGGGGGCACTTGGCTTGTCTGGGGTTTGTTTTGGAGAGCAAAAACACTGGGAAACAGAGAACTGGAGTGTGGCAGCAGATGAGCTCAGGAGAGGTTTAATCCCGTCCTGAATTTAAAGATCTGGGGAAAGAAAAGCCAAGATCTTCATAGGCACAATAAACCAAGGCGAAATTTTCTCCAGTTTGCATTTTGAAATCACATTTCTGGTTCTAATTTTAGTTACAAAAACAGAAAAATATTTAAAAGAGAGAGGAGAGGGAGAGGAGAGGGAGAGGGAAATTCAGAAGGAATTGGTCCAGCCAACTTGTATTTTCCTGTGATTCTTTTTTTTAGCAACACACCCCAAAAAATTTATTTATTCTTTTCATTACCCTCGTGAGGTTCAAGAGCTCTGATGGTGTCGCTTGATCAAACTTCTCTCACTGTTTGATCAAGAGTGTTGGCCATGAGGTGAGAAAGGAGCTCCCAGGGCACCCCAAGGAGTCCCTCCTTCCCCCCTTGGCCGACCTCTAACACTCGATGGCATCATCAGCTTTGCCCCAGGAGTGCTGGGCACACCAGGAAATCTTTTATAGACAGTGGGTTTTGCAATTCTCCAGGGAGGGCTGGGTGGAGGGGGTGACTCAGAGGAGCAGGGTAGGGTAGGACAGGGTTTGTAGCACAGGCAGAGCCACACGGAGCATTTCTGGTGCTCCCAACAAGTCCCAACAGCACCCACAGCTCCACACTCTCAGGGTCTCCCAAGAGCAGCGAGGAGAACCTGCCCTCCACAACCACGACATCCCTGGGGACATGCCCAAGCAAGAGGAGCTTCTCAGGAGGGGTGAACTTCACCCAACCTCTCAACTGCTACATTCCTGCCTGGCCCCGGGAGGAGGAGGAGGAAACACATGGGCAGGAGAGCTTTTGTCCACCAAAACGAGCTCAGGAGAAGTCATTCATTGCTGGTTGTTTCCCTGTTTTGTGTTAAGGAGCAGCCACACAAGCAGTGCTGGAAGATGTAGGGAAAGCCCTGTTGCCACCCAACCTCAATTTACGTTTTTCTACCATTCTTCAGTCTTGAATCTGCCCTGCACTGCAGTGTCCCCAGACAAGGTTCATCCACCACACAAGGTGAATGGCACTTCCCCTGTCACAGGGGCTGCAGTACCCTGGGTTGGCACATGGACACCTCTGCCAGTTTAGCTGGCAGGGCTCTGATATGTCTTCTGTAGAGCACAGAATCA